AAAGTCACATCGCACTGTAGTGTATTCTCGAATAAGTTGACCATCAGGTGATAAAGCGTTGGTTACAGTTACTTGGCAACTTGCCAACCGCGCAGATGATGAACCATACTATGAATTAACTGTTAATTGTAGTGCAAAGGCGCAATCGTGTCGCCTGAGTAGACGTAAAAATCCCAGGGTTTCTTGAGTTATGACCAGGGTTGGTTATCCCCCAAAATGGGAGATGTAAAGGTGATGTCCTCGCCTTGCCTCCCTACTTTCAACTAAAATGATAAAATACAAAAATAAAATAAAAACTTGGATCATCCTTCGATGAAATTCCAGTTGAACGCCGGGAAGCTAGATGCAAATTATTTGTTAATTTTTTCTTAAGTTTATTCGTTTGAAAGACAAAGGCACACGGATAACCTGCCTGGCAGTACGTGCTGGTGCTGCTCTCCTTTCTCCGAACGTTACTTGACAAGCAGGTTGAAAGTGACCTGTTTGCCAGAATTATATTCAGTTCCAGTTTAGTTCATCGAATTATTAGAAGGATTAGCTTTTCCACCGGCGTATTTTTCGTTGAAGAATAGTCCTGGCTACTGTGAAATTTCAACGCAAAATGTTGGTGAATTTTACAGGATGATTATCTGGTTTGCTGCGAGAAATTATTCGTTTACCTTTATCGTTACGGTAGTAAAGATGTGAAACGCTTCAAATATATTGGCAAAGCGGATTTTATGGATTCGTCGATGCTCGAATTCACCAGCGTTACAGCCTGTGGTGACAAAGTGGCAGCAGCAATCTCATTCGGCCGAGTTTTTATATGGTTGGTAGCGAAGAAAGTGCTGTTGGAAATGAGCTTTTGAGTAGTGCTAAGTATAGTGATGAATGATGTTTTGCTTTGGAGCATTGCGAGTAAGAGCTTGATTTTCTTCCTTCCTCTGCTTTTGCGAAGCGCAATAAGACTGGGTAGGAAGAAATTTAAAAACCAAAAAGAAAAAATTTTGTTGAATAGATTCGTAAAAACTGACGAAAATTGCCTCGGAAAATTACGAAATTTTGTTGAAATTGAATGAAACGTAGTTAAAAAGCTACAGGATGTGGCCAGAATATAAGAATCGGTCTGAAAAACAAAGCTGCTATACAAAACGAGTAGGTGGCTGTATGACGCCAGATTATATTTGAGCAATTTTTGCCATCTTTTTACGCAGAAATGCCAAAATTGGGCATTGTATTCACGTAAGAGGTGGTGCATATACATTGAACAGGCGGTGGATATTAACTGGCGGTATGCAGCCCAGGATGGAAGAGTCTGGTGTAGCTGCACTGGCATTTGGGAGCATCCTAGTTTCATCACAACATACTGACATTGCTAGGTCAAACGCCGCCTGTGTTTACAGCTCAGGGCTGAAACACAGACAGGCTCTCAAGTAACTGTACATACAAGCTTACTTATTTGGGAGATCTAAATGGCATTTCCACTGTTTTCATTAATTATCAAAATTCGACTGTGTTCCTCTCCACGGTGGGCCGTCAACA